AAACACCCTGACTCTGGTATACTTGGGAGAAGATTTGCAGCTGTGATAATTTCCAATTAAATAACGGGAGTGAAGGTGATGCTGCAAAGTATGACATTCCTCTGGAGGTATTATTGCATAGAGGAAGTACAGACTGATAGTGACCCTTCTATGCTGTGCATTTTCATTATTCTTCTTTTCTGATGACTTGCACAGCCTTCACGTGTTCCCTATTATTTTCACCAAATGCTCATTGTGGTAGGAAGGATGTGATGGTTTCAGCAGAATTACTTAATTAGGTTTAAGTAAGCAGTACAGGCTAAGTAGGGTAGGTTTGCTTTCTGGCCATATAAATGTGCGTGCCATGCATGCTGGACTCCCAAGGAATGAAATAGTGATTGATGCAATGATAAAATGATGAAAGGAAGGATGAAACCTGAGAGATAAAAGTCTCAAAGGGAAAATAGAGTAGGTAGCAGCTGCCTCTATCTTAATTGAAGCATAAATTTCAAGCAGAAAATCTGAGGTTAAATTTCAAGCACACACTCAGAGTTTGTGTGTCTCTATGCATCCATACCATGAGCATGATGAAAACAAGATAGTCAAAGATCTTATCTTTTGTGTGCAGTATTTTGAAATTATTCCTAAACATGTTTAAAGTTGGAGATGTAGGAGTATATCTACTGTCACAGAATGGCATACATTTAGTTAGCATTTGACAGGAAAGCCATTGGTAGGTAAGAAGTATTTTCGGCTGTGGTTTGCAGTTGACTATTATATACAATTTCTGCAGTGAAGGATTTGAATATCCTTTGTTTGTTTTCTCTCTCTACATACACATTTCAGGCCTCTACTCAAACCTCTGATAGGATACATTAGAAAGTATAAGTTGGGTTGTGTTAATGGTATTGATTTACATTTTAATTCACTGCACATACAAAGGCCTTGAGCCTAGCCACTCCCTATGTGTCAAGTCTTCCATCTCATCCTATGCCCCAAGTCAAGGGTCCATTCTTTGGATGTGATGCTCACTTTCACACTATGTTGAGATAGTCAGATATTGTAATGAGATTATTGTGTTTTCATGCCTATTTTTCATCCATTAAAATTCCTCCCACTCTTGGGTGGTCTACAAGCCTCGGTCATTTTAAAACCTTTTTTGCAACTCTGTATTCTTAACAATCCTGTTGTGGGATATTCTTTTGTACACTATGAAGATGTGTCTTTTCCAAGGCACCTTCTTATTGGTTTAATAAAAAGCTGAATGATCAAGAACTAGACAGGAGAGAATAGGCAGGACTTCTGGGGAGAGAGGATTTCATGATGAGTTGAGGCATGTTAGAGATACCAGGAAGGGCCGGAGCAAGTCAGATGTACAGAATGGGAGAGATGTAAAAGCCATGTGGTAAAATATAAATTAATAAAAACAGGTTTATGTAAATTATAAGAGCTAGTTTGGAACAAGCCTAAGATAAAGCCCAAGTTTCATAATTAATAATAAGTCTCCATGTCATTATTATGTCATTATTTGCGGGCTGGTAGGCACCAAGAAAGCCCAATTACATAATGTATGAACAAATATTTCACTAATAGATTAACATAATTTTCAAAAATGAGCTTTTCATATGACATGATGTATTTTGGTTTGTGTGTGTATCTGTCTGTCTATTTTTGGAGACATAAACTACATTATGAAAAAGCAAGAGATTATTATTTTTTCTGTATACATATTGTTGTACATAGCTTAGAAATTTGAGGAATGCTTGGAGGGCAAATAAATTTCATCAGAAAGTATTTAAGTTTGTGTAATATTTTTCATGCTAGATCAACTGTTGCACTAAAGTTTCAAGACTGTATTTCATAAGGCCTCAAAATGGGAAGCGGTGCACCGGATGTGAGGGCAGAGGCATTGCATACAGAAGGAACACAAATGTTTTCTCGTGAACTGCCTTGGAGACTCCATGTCTCACTGCATGGGGTAAACTATTATTAGAAGTATTTTAGAAAAACAATCTCGCCTTTCATATCCTATCTTTATAGCTTAATATTGCTTCTATGTCCAAACATATAGTAAAATAATCCTGAGCTAGGCAAACCTTCCTTCAAGAGTGCATTAAGAAAGAAAAATTGCTTCTAAGCTTACCAGTCATGCAAAATCTTATGGCTTTGTTATAAAATTTTTAGAAATAGAACTTGGAAAGCTGTAGGAGTGAACCCCACAAAGCTACCCGCCCAACAGGGCGGGGTCAAGGTAGAGATAAAAGGTAGTGAAAGGAAAAGGGGCCTCCCTCTTTTCTCCTGGAAGCCAGCCACGCTTCTAACTCCTGGTATGTGCGACTCTCTCTCTCCCTGATAAATAAATATATTGTTTTTCCCTATATAGCCTCGAGTATCGTTATAGAAAGCTTGACACATTTTTTAGCATCCTGACCACATTTTCACCTCTCTCTTCTCTGCCCAGTCCCTCCTCTTCACCTACTCCTTTAGTCCCCATATAGTCTCCTCTTTTTCTATTCAGAAAAGGGCAGTCCTTCCATGGATATCAGCAAAGCATAGCATATCAAGTTTCAGTAAGACAAGGCACTGCCCTTCTTATTCAGGCCCACAAGGCAACCTAGTATGAAGAATAGGTTTCAAAAAGCCAGCAAAAGCGTCAGAGACAGCCCCTACTCTCACTGCTAGGAGTCCCACAAGAGAATCAAGCCACAAATCCGTATCATATATGCAGAGGGCCAAGGTCAGTCCCATGCAGGTTCCTCGGTTGTTGGTTCAATCTCTGTGAGCCCCTGTGAGCACAGGTTAGTTGATCATAGAGGTTTTCTTATAATGTCCTTGATCCCTCTGGCTCTGAGAAAAAAATTGTTTTGAGTGAGGTAGCCCAGACCCAGAGAGACAAATATGGTTGGTGCCTCACCCAGTTGTCACCAGAGAGGCTTCATCCAGCAACTGATAAAAACAGATGCAGAAATGAACAGCCAAACATTAGGCAAAGTTCAGATACTTTGTTTTTTCTAATAGTAAGCTATATCATAATAAAATCAGGTAACTGCAATTTTAGACAACAGAAAAGAAAATTAACATAATATGAATATAAATGATAAAACTGCCACGTAGGTATTTTCTTTTAGTTTTAAAAGATGCCTGGAGGATACCTATAAACTGTATTTTCACACACTACTGAGGAAGTGTTACCTCCGTCTACTGTAACTAACAAAATTTACTTCAAAGTACTGTGGGAAGGGAAGTTGCTTCCTTACACTACCTGGATCAAATTGCTTAGCACATGTTTCCCCCAAACTAATGACTTTCACAATTCATAAACAAAATATCCTACAGAATGAAAGTACATTTTACAATAAAGCAATCTCTACCTTTGTAGAAAAATGATGACTAATTGGGTTGTCACATGAATATTTTCTTGAAAAAAGACAATTTTATTCCCCTTTCAATACTCTCCTTTACTTCTTTGAAGTTTTGATATGTATTCATATTTGTTGAAAATACTAAAACAAACACAATTAGGATAAACACTACTCTGTATTCATCAAAGGCAAGCTTAAAAACCAGAGAGTCGAACACATAAGCATGACAATGAGCCCTAACCAAGTCATAGATAATAATTAGCAGTGTCCAGAGTGAATTAGACAATTTTGTTAAGGATTAAATAAGATGGTGTTATAAGACTGGACTGATATTTATTCAAGTAATGAATCTGGCATTTTGATCTATTATAGATCTGTAAAACTTCTAAATGTGGATGACACACTGTGGTACTGAAAGCAAAACAAGCTGTCCATTGGCTCAGGCTGTCAGATGAGGGTATCTGCTATGTGTTTTGGCAATTCACAGAATTTCCGTTAAGTTTGGAATCTGTAAGAGATTGTGATTTTTATTTTTTATCTTTTTGCACTCATGGTTGTCATCATCACATTGATAAATAGGAAGGTATTCTTGTTAGACTTTTTATAATTATTTATTGTTGATACCTTGGCAGCCCTAATGAACATCCAAATGATTGTTAGACTATAATGTGTTGTTCTGTAATATATAGTATGCATGATATATAGTATATTGACTAAGTGGCATTTTTTTAGAAGATAAAAAGATCTTAGTCACAAGAAGCTTAAAGAACTCAAGTATTTGTAGGATGAAATTACCCCACCACATTGTGTTGTACACTAAAAACTTATCCCTGTGCTTTCTGTGTTTAATCCTGAATCTAGATAAAACTTCATTTTCCAATGCAGTAATTACAAGGGAGCTATAAAAGTGTTAATTCTTTTAAAGTCAAGAGAATTTGGCTAGCCCTTGTAAGTGTTAACCATTTAAAATGTATTTTAGAGTGGAAAAGAGTCAGTGAGAAAAATAAGATTTGATTATGGGTAACAATTAAAAGTTTCCAGAGTGAAACCCAAAAATTAGATAAGATTTAAATGAATTTCTTATCATCTATTCTTTGAATAATACCAATCTGAGTATGCATTATCATTTTAGATACTATGTGAATAAAATTCAGAACAATAAATACTTTCAAAGAAATAAAAGCAAAAATAATGGTGTAATTTTCTGAATTGAAGCAAGCATAAAGAGTATTTATAGGATCTTATACTATGAAAAACATTCATGTTTCTATGTTGTATATAATATTAATATGTCAAGTTAGTACATCCCTACTGCACTCTCAAAGGCAAAATTGCTGATGTCATCAGAGTTTAGAATAACTACTTATGAGAAAATCTCTATGACCTGCAAGTTTTGGCCAGGTTACATTAAATTAAAGTCTAGAGTATATTCAAGCACACTTAATGTGCACCTGAGAGTAGCTCCTTGCTTCCCTTGAGAGAAAAAGTTGCAATTCTTACTGCATACGTTGTGATGTAAAGAAGTCTCATTCTTCAACAGCCTCTTCAGTGGGCTTAGAAAATAAACAGCAAGGCTATACATTATTCAGTACCTCCTGGAAGCATACCAAAGCCCTTGGAGCAAGTGATGAATGAGCAGTTGTCGCCCTCATGCCTTACCTGGTTTGCTCTTTTTTAAAAATCCAACCCCTGCCGTCTACCACACAAAGCTCATGGCCACTGGGTGAAATCCAAACTGAGTAGTTGATCATGATACTTCCAGCATGTCACAGATAGCAGAATCTCTCAAAGTCCCACAAGCCAACTTCTTGAAGCATGCCTGCAACAAGCAAGACATCTCTTCATTATAATTGAAAAATGGTAAACCGCATCCTAGAACCGGGAGCATTCACTACTCAGTCGATAAGGGAATCATAAAATAGTATGTAAAGGACTATAAATGCCACTCAGGATGCTGAGAAACACAAACATGGAAGGCTGAAGCATACACTTTTAAGAAGGTGGTCATGCAGAGCACATTTCCTTTTCAAGACTTTCACTGACCTACTAAAGCTACAAGTATTAATAAATGCTATTAATACTAAAACACACTCATATTGTTAAGTATATCTCAGATTTCATGGAACTGACCACTTCCAGTACCCAGAGTATTTTCCTGACCCCACCCATAATACTTTCAAGGTGACTGATCACTGAGAAACCACAGAGAAAAACCTATCAGCAGCAACATCAAAATCCACATGATGATATGGACCAAACACAGTATATTTTGTGCATCCTGACATCCCATACAAAGCTGGCATTTCTAGCAGAAAAATTAATTAGGTTACATTTTAAACAAAATGTGTGAGAAACACCGTTGAGTGGAAAATGTGAAGTATTATTATGAATTTAGCAGCCCCCACTATCCATGTTAAGATATAAATGACAAGATAATAAAGAGAAGGAACATACTGGAGTTAGTGTCTGTGCACAAAAGAATGGTAGAAACCTAAAAAAAAGTAATTATATGACTCTTTGTACACAAACAACTGAGTTCGCTAGGAATGCAGATAGGAAGGGCTATCCCAGAGGAATCTTAAAGAACAGATACCTCAAAAAACCACCATGTCTGTCTGTCTGTCTGTCTATCAATCTGTATCTCTTTTATCAATCTATTTGTCTGTCTATCTATCTATCTTCTTTCTATCTGTCTGTCTCTGTATCTACCTATTATCTATCTATCTATCTATCTATTATTCTCTTGCTAATTCCATGGGGAGACTCCTTTGGAAGGTTATATTCAGCAGACTCATGGACACAGGTGTAAAACCTGATTTTAACAAGCCAGAATATTGCCATGCACCTGCAGTTAGAGCTTCAATTATTCCCAGAAGGCCATATGGAAACTTAAAAGTCTCAACAGTGAGATAGTGACTGCCCCATTTCAGCAAGGATTGTAAGAGAACAAGGGTCCAAAATCCAGTCCAACTCATGCCTCATTAAAATACAATATTTGAAAATAACTTTTAGAAAAACAAGAGCTGTGTATATGGATAATAAATGTCAATGCTGCAATTTAGAACAGTTGTTTACCTTGATACTGGCTCTCTCTCTCTCTCTCTCTCTCTCTCTCTCTCTCTCTCTCTCTCTCTCTCTCCCTCTCTCTCATATATAAACACACACACACACACACACACACACACACACAGCTTAAAATTCCCAATCTGTCAATCCAAGCTCTGGTATTTGTTAATCTACAACCTTAGATGTAAATTATTCTTATTCATGCAAATATTTCTACTTATCCAACATCCTCACCATCATCACCCCACCCACTGAAATCCATACCATTTCTTTCTCTCTCATTGGAAACCAAACAGTGACCTAAAAATAAAATAAATAGCCAAGCAATGGTGGCACACACCTTTAACACCAGCATTTAGGAGGCAGAGACAGGCAAATCTCTGAGTTCTAGGCCAGCCTGATCTACAGACCCAGTTTCAAGACAGCCAGGACTACACACAGAAACCATGTTTTAAAAACTAAAACATAAATAAAAAGAAAAGAAAGAGAAACAAAAACAAACACAGCATTATAGGACAAAACAAACAAATAGAAGAAAATAAAACAAAGAAAAGGTACAATAAACACATACAGATGCAGAGATACACACATTTACGCACACAGAAACTCCATAAAAACAGAAAATTGGAAAGCATTTTGCTTAATACCTGTGAAAATACCATTGAAACGATTTTGTGCTGGTCATCCTCTGCTGGGCTTTGGACCTGACCCTAAGTTTGGTTTGTATACCCAGTGAAACACCATGTCCCCATTGGAGAAAACTAATTTTTCCTATACAAGTGGTTATTAATTGAGATAGTTTGGATTTGGAATGGGAGCTACGGCCATCTCTCCGCTCAGAGCAGGACTCTTATCTGCCTCAGACCATTGCAGGCCCCATACAGGCTACCACTATTTCTGTAAGTTCATATGCTGTGTTTAGAAGGCCTCATTTCATTGTCCTCCGTCTCGTCTAGCTCCTAAATTCTTTCTACCTTCTCTTCCAGAGGAGTCTATGAGCTTTGAAAGAAGAGGTTCCATGGAGATTTGACATCTCATTTAAGACCCAGTGTTCCAAGGACTCTTGCCTTCTGTACATTGTCCAGCTGTGGATCTCTGTATTTGTTTCTATCTACTGCAATAAGAAACTTCTCTAACTGGGCAAGACACTGATCTTTGAATATATAAGAATGAAGTTAGGAGTCTTTAGCAGAACAGTGGTATTTGGTTTTCTCTTCGGTCCATGGCCTATCTAGAATCAGGTTCTTGGCCACCTAAGAAGAGTTAGGAATGGGTTAGTTCTCATGGAATAGGCCTTAAGTTTAATCGCATTGGCAGTTACCTGTGTATTTTTTTTGCCACCATTGCACAAAAATATCTTGCAGCAGGTAGCCATTGTAGATTGAAGGGTTTGTAGCTGTGTTGGTTTTTAACCTTTCTTCTCTAGCAGCATGCAGAATGCATTCCAGTACCATGAACACTGATCAGTAGGGTGAATACTGTAGGTTGGCACCAACTCAACTTGTCGGTGTTCAATGAGTAATATTTGTATTGTTCTCAGCAACTGGGCCTTGTCATCAGTTTGTGGAGAGTAACCAATAGCCTTGGCAATAGCCTGTACTGTTTGGAGATATTCATGGGGCCTCTTTTGCCAAAACTCAATTAGATGTAACCAATTCCCAGTACTGAAGGTTTCATTCAGTGGTGAGAGACGTCTACTACTTGGATTTTTGTCTCTTACATTATTTGGTGATTACATTTAGATTTAGATACATATATATATATATATATAATTTTTTCAGAAGCTTCTACTATAGTAGGTTTCTATACAATCCTACAAATGACCCTGAGTTTTAAATGTCCATCTGTTTTCCCCCTCACTGTTAATCCTCTTGTTCTAGTCTCCCTTCTCCCAGTCAATTCATAACTGAATATTCTATTTTCAATTACTTTGGAGGTCATTCTTTTATGTTTAATGCCTTACTCTATAACTAACCTTTTTTGGTATATTGATTATCAAAAATATAGAAGCTAACATCTACTTCTAATTTGAGTGCCTGGGTTGTCTGATTCAGGATGACTTTCTTATCTCCATTGATTTACCTTTGATTTTCATTACTTTTTTTTAAAAAAACTAAGTAGTATTCCATTATATAAATGTTTCCTGTATCTTTTCATCTGTTGGTGGATATCTAGGCTGTTTCAAATTTCTGACCATTATGAATAAATCAGTAATGAACATGAATGAACAGATATATCTGTAGTAGGATGTAGAGGTTTTTGGGTATACTCCCAAGAGTAGTATAGTAAATCTAGTCTTACTTTCCCAAGTACAGAACACTGATTTCCACAGTGACTATATACATTTGCAATACCACCAGATGTAAGTGAGTGTTTTCCTAATTCCACATCTTCACCAGCATGAGCTTTCAAATGTTTTGTTGACATTGGCTATTCTGACTATTGTTAGATGAAATCTCAAAGTAGTTCTGGTTTGTATTCCCTTGATGACTAAGGATGTTCAATATTTGAGTGTTTCTCAGATATCTGTTCTTTTTCCTTAGAAAACTGTCTGTTTAGAGACCTGTACTTCTTATAAATTGAGCTATTTCTTTTTACATACAGTCTTTTAAGGTTTTTTATACTTCAGATATTAGCCCTATATTGTTTGCATGCTTGGTAAAAGTCTCTTCCCACTCTTTAGCCTGCTGCTTTGTCTGAATAGTGGTGTCCTGTGCCATACAGAACCCTTTCCGCTTCATGAAGTTCCGTTTAGCAGTTTCTCTTAGTGCCTATACTAACAGTATTCTGCTAAAAGTCTCTTCCCTTGACAACGAGTTCAAAATTATTCCCCACTTTTTCTTCTATCAGACTCAGTGTATCTGTCCCTATGTTGAAATCCTTAATCCGTCTGGAGCTGAGTTTTTTGCAGGGTGTTAAGTATGAATCTATTTGCATTCTTCTGAATGCAGCCATCGAGTTTGTCCAGCACCATTTATTGAAGATGCTGTCTTTTTGCTTTGTGTATTTCTGGCTAAAAAAAAAAATCAGGTGTTCAAAGGTGTGCAAACTTGTCTGTGTCTTCTAATTGATTCACTTAATCAATGCTTCTGTGTTTATAACAATGCCATGATATTTTTTTCTATAGCTCTGTAGTATAATTGAACTTAGGGTTGGTGATTTCTCTGAAATGCTTTTGTAACTCAAGATTATCTTAGCTACCCTGGCTTTTTCGTGTGTTTTTATGTAAGAATCATGTTGGAATTTTGAAAGGAATTGTACTGAAATTATTGACAGCTTCTGGTAGAATGGTTGTTTTCGATACATTAATTCTATTGATCTGTCAGCAAGGGAGATCTTCCCATCTTCCGATATCTTCTTCAATTTATTTCTTCAGTGCCTTAATTTTTTTTATCATACAAGCCTTTCACTTGTTTGTTTAGAGTTACCCTAGATATTTTTGAGGCTATTATAAAAGATATTGTTTCCCTGATTTCTTTGTCAGTCAGTTTGCCATTTGTATATGATGATAACTGATTTTTTGCATATTTTTATTCAGCAAATTTGCTCAGTTTATTAACTGAATAAGTTTCCTAGTTGAGTTTTTAGGGACATTTATATATACAAGCATATCATCTTCACAAAAAAGATACTTTGACTTCTTTTTCGTTTAATAACCCCTTGTTTTTCTTCAGTTGTCTTATTGCTCTAGACACTACTTCAAGTAATATATGAAATAGGTATGGAGAATGTGAACAGCTTCATCTTGTTCAT